ACACTTTATCATCGCTATGTACTTTTCCAACATAACATTGATCAAAGTTTGGATTGACAATCAAGTGTGTGGTTGTCTATCTACTCTACTAGCTCTTCTAGTGACTGTATAATCAAAGGTCTCCAACTGTCTCTGGTTGCCTGTGTATCCTTAGTACCTGCCGTGTGCCTAGCATATAGTATGAACAAAAATATTTGAATGAAATTAAAACAAAGGAGTAAGGAGAAATTTGAAAGGAATTAATTCTTATATCTATTATTTCCTCTTGTTTCGCTTCAAAGTCTAACAAGATAAAAATAATATCAATTGAGTCACAAATCTCGATTATTTTTCTAGAAAATAAAAGCTATTAAAACTGGATAAAGAAAAAACTAAATCTATATATTTCCTTACAGTTTCTTCAACAAGATGTTCTTCGATAGAGAATGAGGTGAGGGGCAGGCAGAGAAATGTTTATAGTGGGAAGAGATACTAGTTAACTTTCTAGGGTTCTCATTATTTACTTTAAATTCATGTCATAATGACTTTTTTAATTAAGTTAATTATATATTTTAATTATATAATTTTCAGGTGTACATTATAATTTGGCATATATATTTTATTGTGTAATTACCGCTCATCTATTTTTGAAGGTTTAGTGATGACAAATTCAGCTCTAGGAGGATAAAGTGGAAATTTGAGGGATAAAACTAGCAAGACAAGAGATTGGCTGCGGAGTAATATATACGCATTAAATATTCTTCTTTTCAATAGGATGGGGACACACGTGCTTTTGTTTTGTTTGGTTTCGGTACCTTAGCCATCTCTTGACCCTTGCTTTTAAATTGCAGGTCCCACTTAATTTGTGATAGCTGAGTTCTCCATTTTCTCCATTACTTGCTTCAACTTTGGTTAAGCACCTCAGCTTGCAAAATCCCATAGAACACCAGTAACTGCCAACTGTCCTCCCAGTGACAGTTCCCGCTTCACCCCGCTCCCTCCCTAGGGAGAACACGCGGCTGCGCAGACCTCACCGTGACGTGTGACGTCAGAAAGGAGCCAAACCAAGTCGGTCCGAGGCCCTGCGGCCCTGCGAACCAGGTCCGCTTCCTTCAAGTACCTGTTTCCTTAATCCCGGCCAGGTCCAGTCCTCTTTTAGTTAAAGCATAGGAATAAAATCACCAGATTGAAATCCCCATGCGGCCACACCCACATTGTCGCCCTGCCACTGCTACATTCCCAGCCGGCCACCGCCACCTCCTACCCCCACCCCATGGCTTCGTCCGGCCACTCAGTCACTAGGGGCCTAACCGCTGCTCGCGCGCTCGCCACCCACAGTGGGGGAAGGCGGATCCAGGCCAGAACAGCGCCTCTTCTTTCAGCCCCGAAGTGGGCGGGTGTCCCGGGGCGGGCTTCGGAGAGTGCGAATCTGGGACTACGGAGGTCGAGAGGCCAGAGTCGGGGCCCAAGAGACCGGGGCCGGGTGGGGGGAGGGGCGAAGGAGAGCAAGATATCACCCCAGCCCCTCCCGGCGCGCTCCTGAACTATGAGCTCACACAGCTCCGCTACCTCCCTGGGCAACAGCAGCGGCCGCAGCCAGAGTGGGCGAGAGGCAGAGAGAGCGCCCAGAGCTGGAGCCACTGCAGCCCAAATCCCAGACCCGGTCTCCACCTTGGGCGCGGCCCCGGCCTCCACCGCAGGGTCGAGCATTCGTTCTGAGTGGCAGACAGTCTCCCATCTGTTTTCTAGCTACCAGTTGAACGCTTCCATAGCGGATGCGGCCGATTCCTGGGACTTCACTGCGCCTTCCCAACTCGGGTCCAGTCCTGGCCCGAGGACTGACACGGACTCCAGCACTGGCCTCTGGGGCTTTGGCGCCCATGGCCTGACGGACCGGATCCCCATGTCTGCCACCCGCTCGAGCACCTCTCAGGGGGCTGGGCCCGACTCCAACCTGGACATCGACAACTCTTGGGTATCAGTACAACCTCCCACACCCAATAATACCCCCCGAGGGTCGGTACAAGAATCCATGCAGCCCTTGATGCCCGGCTTCCTCAGGGTATCTGTACCACCAACACCTCCTACACCCAATAACACTCCCGAAGTGTCATCACAAGAGTTCGCCCTGACCTCAGTGCCTAGCTCTCCCCGGGGTTCGATCCAAGTACCTCCTACACCAAATAACACCCCCCAGGTGTCATTACAAGGGTCTATCCAGCTCTCACTGGCCGGCTTCCCCCGGATATCTATACAAAGATCTGTTCCAATCTCCGACTCTTCTTTTGCATCCTCAGTGCTCAACTCATCCCGCAGTTCAGTACAAGAAACTGTCCCGCTCTCGAGCTTCTCCGGAGCGCCAGTACAGGAGCAGCCCCCGCCCTTAGTGATCGGCTACCCCCGGAGTTCAGTACCAGGATCTGTCACGCTCTCGGACTCCTCCCGAGCGTCGATACGGGGTTCCCCACCACCCTCAATGCTCAGCTCCCCTCGGAGTTCCGTACCAGGATCTGTCACGCTCTTGGACTCCTCCCGATCGTCGACACAGGAGTACCCTGTGTCAGTGCTCAGCTCCCCCCGGAGTTTAATACAAGAATCTATCATGCTGTCGGACACATCCGGCGCGTCGATACAGGGGTCCCCCCCACCCTCAGTGCTCAGCTCTCCCAGGAGTTCGGTACAAGGATCTGCCACACTCTATGGCTCTTCCCGAAGGTCGGTGCAAGAGTCTGCCTCGCCCTCAGTGCCCGCCTCCCTCCGGGGTTCGGTACAAAGACCTCTTATGCCTACGAACTTCACCCAAATGTCGGGACAAAAGTCCACCCAGCCCTCCGTGCCAGGTACGCCCCGAACATCCGTGGAAGGATCAGCTCCGCCCCCGGGCTCCCCCAGAGTATCAATACAAGGGTCCGCTCCGCCCTCTGTGCTTGGCTCCGCCCTGCTCTCCGTGGAAGAATCGGCTCCGCCCCTGGACTCCCCCCGAGAGTTGGTAAAAGAGTCCGCCCCGCCCTTGGCCAGCCTCACTCCTGTACCCACGCCGCGGGAGACTGTCAACCGGAGCATGGCGAATCGGGAGAAGTCGAGTGTTGAGGGCCACATGTTCGACGTAGTCGTGATAGGAGGCGGCATTTCAGGTCAGCTTGAACTGTAGCGGCAGCTTGAGGGGCCCTGGTCGCCGTGGTCGCCCCGGGGTGGGAAATTTGCAATAGCGCCCTGGTGTTTGGGGTCTCTCTTACATTCGCGAGTGCAATAGTCTCGACTTGCCCGGTCTGGCCCGGCCCGGCCCGGCCCGGCCCGGCCGGGCGGGAATGAGGGTTGGGCCAGCCTTGCTGGTGGTGTGAACTGGGAGAGGTAGGAACAATAATTTGTTACTACTATTAAATGCTAACATTTAATTAGCTGTTGCTGTGCAGTTATATCACTTTATGTGGATTTTCTCAATCCTCAGCAGTCCTGTGAGATGGGTAATACATTCGCCTTCATTTTATAAAACCAGGAAACTCAGGTCTGCGGAATTTCGTGTCAAATCACCTAACCGGGAAGTGGTTAAATGATTTTCTCTCATGTAAGACTCTCACTTCTAATTCCTGAGGTGGCTGCTTTGCCTCACCGTTTCAAGTCCTTTACCCTCAACAGACAGAGGAAATCAGTATACGGATTTTTGTATTATTGAGGTAGTAATAGTGTTACTACAGTTCTGCTCTTTTTAAAGCACTTTTCCTTAGAAAATATGGGTACGAGGAAGGAAGAATCGTTAAGGAAAAAAAGATTCAAGTATATGGTGACGAATGGAAGCTAGACTTTTGGTGGTGAGCACACTATAATGTATACAAATATCAAATTATAATGTTGTATACCTGAAATTTATATAATGTTATTAACTTATGTGTTACCTCAATTAAAAAAAATAGAAAAAAGGAGAGAGGGGCAGATTCTTAGTTTTAACCTATTCCCATTTTTTTTTAAACTTGCAGGAAGGTATAGGACATTTATTGCCCAAAGAGAAGTCCTGTATGAAGCAGAGGCCAAGGACAGGTCAGGGAATACCTTGTTGTTTCCTTTAATGAGAGCTCCCACACCCTAAATCTTGTCCTATGTTGAGCCAGCTGGTGAACTTGGTTTCCCCTGCTCTTGGCTTGGGTTTGTAGCTGACCAATGGAGTGGTACATGAGGCTTTTCAGTATCTTCCAGGAAACCCCATCATGACTGATATATTAAATTGTCACTTATGTTATCACAGCTGCTAAAAATGTTTAGAATTTACAAACTGTGTTTCAGCCCTAGCTAGAATCCCACACTAATCTGTCCATGACCCAGGAGAGTGTTAATAATTTCTGAAGTATGCCTGCAAGATCTAATTTAGAAAGAGGGAGAAAGAAGGTGGGAGGGAGTAAGTAGGGTGGCCCCACAGTAGCCATTTTTATGTATAATCCTTTCGAGGAGACTCTGAACATGCTTACAAATTAATTTTGGGTGAAGATAGCTTTTGACTTGGCCTGTTGAGGATAAACAGTCTTAATCACCAGAGAAGAGACTGGCATAAGTTGTTGCTTTGAAAACTCCAGCCAATTCCAGCAAAAACCATGTATGTATGTTGAAGCATCAGAGGAAAGCAGAACCTGGTAGAGTAAGAAAAAGAAGCATTTCCCTTGTATTCCTTCCTTCCTTCCTTCCTTCCTTCCTTCCTTCCTTCCTTCCTTCCTTCCTTC